AATAATAATAATAATAATAATAAACAACCTGTGAATTGCAGAAATGGAAGAGACCTTATGAATCATCCAGACCTAGCCCCTCTCAAGGAGGCCCAGTGGGGATTCAAACCCTCAACCTCTAGCTTCGTAGCCAGATGCTGAAACCACTGAGCAATCCAGCCAGCTAATAATCTTAGAACTGCAGGTCTGGAAGGGGGACCTTCGGGATCATCCAGCCCAGCCCCTCTCAAGGAGGCCCAGTGGGGGAATCAAACCCCCAACCCCTCTGGTTCCACAGCCAGAGACCTCGGCCCCTGAGCAATTCAGCAGTTCATACGTATGCAAGTTTTTTTTAAAAAGAAAGAACAGCTAAAAGCAAACCTATTCATTTTGAGAGTCTCCAAAGTAGGAAACAAACTTCCTTAAACCATTTCCCAAAAGATGTTGGTTCAGTTCTTATCCTCTCCAACTATGCACCAGAATGATGTGGTTCCAAAGGCATCTCTTTGGCCCGTCACCGTTATTGAGATGGGAAGCAAGAGGGAAAAAGGAGCCCGTGAGAGGAGGCATGGGCGGGCGAAATGTGGCCAATGCTCTTGGATCACGGATCCCCTCCTTCTGGGCTGGGTCTATCCGAGGGGGATCCGACCCCACAAGGAGGTCAGGGCTCAGCCTTCCCTTCGCCTGGTGGGCTAAATTCAAATGCACGACTCAGGGTGCAAGTGCAATGAACAGAAATGCCCGTGGGTAAGAAAGGGCCTGTTGGGTGGGGTTGGCATTGCCGGCTGGTGCTGTAGTCCATTTAAAAATAGACAAATATCCTCAAACCACCACCCCCAAAAAATACGTTCAAGGACAACCTCTGTTAATGGAATGGGAACTTTCCTTAAGAACTTTAGCAAGGAGACTTTTCTTAAGATTATGTCAAAAAGAGAGAGAGAAATTATATTCGGCACACCTTTGCCATTTCCTTCTCCCTCCAGAGTCCTGCAGTTCCTCTGTTCCCCACAACCACGCTTATAAAAATAGTATTATGTTATGATATTTGCATCGCATGAACAAGTACATGTGCTTGACATTCTCAAAATGAATGCCGTTGTCTGTTTTTGGCACACGTTTGGGGGCTTTTCGACCAAATCGATCTTGCTACTAGCCCCAAAGAGCCTTTCAAAGGAATAATTCTTATTTAATTGACCGGACCAGATTGTTTTCTCATGTCCTGGGGAAGAACGCATTTGACTGTAAAGGCAAAAGTACTGAATATTCCGACAGTGCATTTTCCAATTAATATGTTAATAGCCCTCTTTTCTTCCAGAATTAGGACCTAATGTAGCTCGCAGCATTTTTTAAAAGAAAGGAATAAATAAAAACACAGTTTATAGCCATCCTGCCTATTATTTGCTGTATTTGCATCTGGATAGCTGTGCATTTTATAGTGCTTTCTTCTCAAAAGGCTTTCTGACCCGTTTACAGATCAATAGGACAACAATAGCAGCAACAACAACATGGCAAGCAGGTCTCAAATATAAGAGGGGGGGGATGACATAAGAGGAAATGGGGATGAGGAAGGCAAAGGAAAATAAGAACCAGAAGCACATTAGCTCCTTATGGTCTTCCTCATCTTTGATGGAGCGGCTGCTGGATGACATAGGGTGGGTGGAGGAAAACCTGGCTGAGCTTGCTTCTCGGGAAGTGTGGCCATGATCCTGCTTTCCTTCCCTGCCTCTTCCTCAGACTGGTGGGATTTCAATGGAGTTAGGGTGGAAGGAAGCACAGCGTAGTTTCGTTCAGACTAACCGAGGTCCAGAAAGAGGCCAGAGTCAAATCTCTTCCAAACTGGGGCATAGACCAACTAGAACTTTTCATGCCCGGGGATCTGCAATTTAGCCCAAGGTCCTTTGAGTTCATATTACCGGTGAATTGGGCTCTTGAATTCTCAATGCAATCCTTTATATCTTTATACACGCTGTTGCTGTCACAGGGTGCTTCTGATACATCTGTACGTTATGACAAGGGAGAGTAATTTTAAAAGGTGCTAAACCATGGAACGTTAAGGCCTTTTCATACCTTACAGACCAATGCAATTTGTCACCCGGCAGGCATCCATAACCAACTCTCGATGAGGCTATACGCATGATGCCAAACATGTCTACAAAACCAAATGAGTGATTTGTAGATGACAGCTGCCAGAAATCCTGGCCAGCACAGCTGGTGGCGAAGGCTTTTGGGAGTTTTAGTCCAAGAACATCTGAGGACCAGCGGTTGGGAACCACTGGTAATCAACATCACCCATGATTCTTGAGAAAAGGAGACGGAAGGGAGAGAGAAGAGCACTTGTCAAAAACTTGAAAGGCTGTCCTAAAGAGTAAGGGCAGGATCTGTTCTCAATTATCCCGGAGTGCAAGACACGTCATAATGAGCTCAAGTGACAGGAAGCCAGATTTAGGCTGAATACCAGGAAAAAACTTCTTAACTGTTCGAACAGTATGACAATGGAACCAGTGACCTCAAAAAGCGGTGAGCGCTCCAACGCTGGAGGCCTTCAAGATAAATGGAGACAACTGCCTGGCCGATCTGCTATGATCTGGATTCCTTCCTTGAGCAGGGGGTTGGACTGGATGGCCTTAGAGGCCCCCTTCCAAGACAAGGATTACCCTTTGCAGAAGTACAGCCATTTGAGAAGAGAAACTCAGGGTGCTCACTGTGTCCCAACCCCTCATACAGTCCCTGAATCCTAGATACACCGATGTAGCAATCAATGTTATACCTAGAACAGGCAGTCCTGAGTTCAAATCCCTGGATTAAGGGTTGTTGCTCTGCTAATTGGGCATGATGGTGGTTGTAGTCTAGCATCCACAGAGAGCACCGGGTTACAGAAGGCTGCGATGCTCTCCTCCTCTGAC